AATTCCAGGTCATAATCAATATGTGTACCGCGTTTCATCGAAATTCGTTTAGTAGTTTTAGCGTAAAAGAATAACCAACATACATACAAACTTTCTCATTTATTATTTTAAGTAGGATAGAAAGTAGGATATAGCATTAACTTTTGAACTCCTGACTTCTTTGTAGTTATGAATTGCGAATGCCACGCACACGCCGCGTACACGCCACACACACGCCACAAACACGCCACATACACGCCACACACACGCCACACACACGCCATGCATACACCTTGCACCTGCCCTTTTTCTAGTGTCGACGGGTCAGACGGATTCCATACCTAGTTCATTTACGAACGCGTAGAGTAGACCCCCTGTATAGTGACGTAATGAGTGTGGACGCACAACGCGAGAGATGATAACTCGATTCATTATTCCAATTTCAGGACGCCATAGCTGTCGAATTATGTTTGCTTCATCATTACACGTAACGTCGTTTGATTTTCGACGGTAAATACTAGAATGTTAAAGTCAAAATGATGTTGGTGGTGTGTTTTTAGCTCCAAACTCCAACAGCCATTATAATTCACCATAGTAAGAAGCCACCAAGCTACCTTTCCCAGCCTAAACGTGGATAAGACAAAACAGCAGTGCTATTCTGCTGGTCACAAAAATTAAAATTTATAAGCACCTGAAACCGAAACCGTTGAAAGATTACTTCTATTTTATTTACGTCATGAACAAATCTAATGTAAAGCAAATGTGTCAATATGTTTGGGCTAAAGTAGCCCAGACACATTACTGCGGAAACACAGTTCCAGAGAAAAGCCAAGCAATTGCTTTGAGTCGAGAACGTCCCCGCGCGAACGTGCGAAGACATATTATAAAACTTTAAATTTGTCAAAATTACCGTGGTTGTTGCGTTGATGATCACTTGTAGGTAATTTCTTATTATGGAACGAAATTACTCCTAACCAAAGGCGAGTAGAGGTGCAACGACATCTCGTCTGCAACTCGAAACATTAAAAAAGCCGGACGGGGCTTTTTTTTAACTGACTTCAAAAAAGGAGGAGGTTCTGTGTTCGACTGTGTATATTTTTTGAAGTGAAAACTTCTTTAGCGGCGTTGTGCACTTTTTTTTGTATGGGTAAAAAATGTTAAACTCGCGTCATGACACGTGGGCTGATCGTATCACAGGCCACATGTTCTGATCGTAAGACGAAAACAATAAAATTGGAAAGGTTGTTGAATTTCAATATATTGGACGAAACATAGTAATATTTTATTTTATTGTATTATAACAATAAGTCTCTATCTAGGACGTCCAGGTGGCAGCTTTATTGCTAAGAAAATGGATTTTTTTTACAATAGATGTCGCTAGGTGAGCTTAAATGAGAAATCCTGAGAGATAAACTTTTATATTGTCATATTTGTGTACGATAGCGCAATAAATAAATATTGTATTCTACCACATAAATGATAGTACTTTTATACTGATAATTAAAGAAATTCGTGCAAAATTATTCCCTAACCATTCCAAAATATCAAAAATGCACAACGTTAATATTCAAGTTTTCACTTCTGCCTGCACTCCCGGAGTGCAACCCGTCGTTTTTTTTTATTTATGTTCACCGATTTCTCCGTCAATTGTGGACCGATATGCAAAATTTATTTTTTATTCAAAAGCGTGCACTTCCGAGGTGGTCTCATTGAAACCAAGTCAGGATCTGATGGTGGAAACCTGGGAAATCGAGGGAAACTTTCAAATTTTAAATGCACGCACGATGTTTTTTATGCAGGTTCACCGATTTCTCCGTCAATTGTGTAATTGTTTACTTGGACGACGTAATTTTTAATAAAACGGATGAAATAAAAAAAAAATAAACAAAAAATAAAACCGACTTCAAAATCCAAAATGGAACTTAAAATTAAAAAATAATATCTGGTTCTTGATTTGGAAGTCGGGCGGGGTCAAAATTTAAACATTAAAGAGATTTTCGTTTCTGATCGGTAATAATACGTCTTTCAATCTTGACGCGCCCGATTTCCAAATCATGAACCAGATATTATTTTTTACTTTTTAGTTCCAATTTCGATTTTGAAGTCAGTTTTATTTTTAGTTTTAAACTTTAATGTTCCATATAAATATGCCTTAACTTCGAATATAGGAGTATTTAAATCGTTTGCCTGTTGTCCGTGTAATCCATAGGGGCTGCGATAGTCTGGCGGTAGGCCAGAGCCCATTATATCGTTACTGGATAATTTCGAATCGGCGAACTATTTCATTTTGCGAAACGCGCGTATCGGCGCGTCCTTTCTCTTGCGTTACAGCAATTTCTGGTACTTACTTCCCTCATCGGTTTTTGCTTTCAGCTATGATATGGCGGTCTGCAAAATCCGGGCAAATCTTTTTTTGTGCTTAATTTACTTAGCCACTACTACTTGCGATCAACAGTTTTTCCATCTCATCATAATTAAGTCCCAATAACCAACTGGTTATTGCCTTACATTTGAATATCATTGATTTTGAAAATTTTCAAAACTTATTTAGTTTGTTATATAATTGAGTACTTTAGTGCTATGTAACTGCGCCGAGCAAAACTAGTTCGTTGTGGTACAGTATTGCAAATATTAAATTCGTCTCCTATATCTGTTTTCTTCTTCGTCATACGGGGCTTCGGAATTTTAGCGAAATACGACATTTAAAATAAATTGCCGTCGAACCGTTAACGAAAACTTGATATTTCTTATAAATAGCTTCTGTAGGATAAATGATTTTCTTTTTTAATATTGTTTTAATAACAGCTCTTTGGGCTCTTTCTACTTTATTAGCGTTATTATGCAAGTTCCACCCCAAGCTAAATTACAGAATGATATGATTGACTGAACTAAAAAATAATGAACAAGCTTTAAAGTATATGGGTTTGCTGAAGTTCTATTTTATTGAATGGAGCTTCCTTATTTTTGTGGCTAGACTATCAACATGTGGATAACACAAATATCTTGTGTGAGGCATTCCATATTTGTTGTATTTCAGCTAAATTACACTTTGTTTCATCTTTTCATATACCATTAAAAATGGTATATTACGGAACTCAACAGGACGATCTGTTTTGGTTTCCCAAGTAGTCAATTCGCTGATCAAGGGTTTGAATATACGGAAGGTGACATTCTCTTTCCTTTTCTAAGTTATCGAGTTTTATCTTCATATCCTCGTATTGTTGTGATATTAAAATAGCAGATGCATTTATTTCCTTGTTTTGTGTGGAAATAGTGGATACAGTGGCCTGAAGCACCTCAAACCTTTTATTAGATCTTCCTTGAGATCATTGAATAGTTCTCGCATTTCGGTCATTACATCAGGTCGGGGCTCAACCTCATACCGGAACCGCGTGTACTTATGCATGACTTACAATCCATCACTTATCGCTGCACTGATGCTCCGCTTTGACTTGGACCTTGTCAACGTAGATTAATGATCTGTGGTAGGGTGCGCTGCGTCGACATCTCGTGCGTGTGAGTAGGATAAGAAACTTCGCCCAGATACAGCTGTCGCAATGCAAAATGCGCAGCTATCACTGATTATAATAACGCGTGCAAAGGAGAGATTTGAGTTAGAAGGTTGTTTTCTAGTTTTATTTATTGTTATAAACTATTTGCGTAAACACTGCGGACACGTCTACTCACTACAGAGATCCGAGAGGAATAGGGTTGGTTAAAAAAAAGTTATATCTTACTCTTCCGTGTTTCAAAACTCTATGACTGTAGAATATTCTCAGAACTATGCTTCAACATTTTTAATAAAAACATATTTGATCAATTCACGTATATGTAGTATAACAGAGTAACTGGAAATTATATTAACGGCAAAGCTAATGTAATTTTGCATCAACTTTATATTAATTATGTTCAGTTGGTTAAATTTTGAGGGCAGGGAGGTAGCTTTTCGATGGCAGGGTTTCCATATTATGAATATTGTGTTGTTTATTATAAATACCTACCTAGTCCTATCAAAATATGAAATTTCGTATGTTTGGATGGTAATGGATTTGTTTATAATTGGCAGACTCGTGATTACTTATTCTACGAATTAATATATAGGATGCTATTCATCCCCGGAAATTTTATTCCTGTGAAATACAGCTATTTTTATTTATATTATTTTTACAATTTTTAATCTATTTTGTTATTTATTCTTGATAATTTCTCAATATTATCTAAAGTTGTGGGTCACGAGAAAATAACTAGCTGACTCGGCGAACTTCGCAACGCCCAAAAGTAATAATTTGCAAAAAATAATATTGCGACTATAAATTGAGATGCAAGCTATCCTATCTCTCAAGTTGGATCAAGCTGCACACGGTGTGCAAATTAAATTAAATCGGTTTAGTAGTTTAGGAGTTCATCCCGGACAAACAACGTCCCGGACAAACAACGACAATTTATATACCTAGTCAGGTCATACATTCTGTCACATGTTTAATATAAAATAATTGAAACAAGTTTATTCATTATGTAACCATTTATATACCAAAGGAACCTAACAAAACATAGATTCTAATGACAATAAAGTTTATTCAAAATGATCCCCGTGATTTTGAATACAGGTCTTCAATCTGCGCGGCCAGTCGTCTATCGCAGCACGAACGAGGTCCATGTCAATATTGGCAGCTGACTTAATCAAGGAAGTCTTGAGTGACTCCAAATTGGGATGAGGCTTTGAGCACGCCTTTTCCTCTAAGTGTTGCCATATCTTGTAATCTAACGGACTCAAATCTGGACTGGAGGAGAGCCAGTCTTGTGCGCTCTTCGCTCTATGAGTGCATATGCATAAGTCTAAATTTCTGTTGCACGATGTAGGCCTCCATACTTTTGAGTGCAAAGCTAGTACGCGCCATCTGTTTTTATGCAGCATCAAGTCTTGCTTCGTTAATATAATTAACGCGTGGGGCGTGTCAATGTCGCCACCACAAGATATTTAGATTTCCTTAAATCTAATTTCGTATTCTTCATTGTTGCAGCAACTAAACGCGCTCAACAAAGGCGAAGAAGACGAGGACACGATCAGCGTCGCTGGTATGAGATCATTGGCTGGCTACGACGACAGCCTGCGAGAGGTGCCCGACTACCGGTTCTATGTGGCGTACGACTTCTACGCGAAAAACAACACACATTATCACAGATCACCTTATTATGGATACTACCAAGGTAAGTAACATAATAGTATTATTACATATATTTTTTTCAGTTACGGATACATTGTGAACCAGGAAACATTACCCTTTTTTTGTAGTAAAATTGTCACTTGTAATACTTATAATGAATAAAAACAAAAGGGGAAAAAAGTATAACGTATGAAGTAAATATTGGAGTTCTGACTTAAAGAAACAAATTCCAAGCTATAAATCTTAAAATGCCTAAATTGTTGCAGTACCCAACAAGTTGAATCGACTGTACACACCTCAACTCAACCACATCAGCATGAAGATGCCTTCGAGCCCCCTTCTGATCTCCAGACCTTCACCGGACAACTTCTGCAACAGCTCAAGCATCGACAAGACCTGTCAAGATGGCTTCTGCGAGTGCTCGCACGTTCTCTCAGTGAAACTGAATTCAGTAGTCGAAGTTATAATCTTAGATGAAGGAGTAACCTTTGATGCCAACCACCCTTTCCATTTACACGGACACAGTTTTAGAGTTGTCGGTATGAGAAGACTAGCAAACGAAACTACAATAGAAGAAATCAAAGCGTTTGATGAAGCTGGTCTTCTGAAAAGAAACTTGAAGAACGCCCCCATCAAAGATACTGTCACAGTTCCAGACGGCGGTTACACAGTCATCAGATTCAAAGCGGATAACCCAGGGTATTGGTTATTCCATTGCCATATTGAATTTCACGTAGAAGTGGGCATGGCCTTAGTCTTCAAAGTGGGTGACCACAAAGATATGGTACCAGTGCCTAGAAATTTCCCGACTTGCGGTAGCTATATGCCTGATAACATGCTGGAACACGAAACTACGGAAAAACCAAAGAATGTAATTTCTATAAACCATTGGTGGCCAGTAGTCGTTATAAATAACAATAACAATTCCACATCTTCGGCTCAAACTTTGAGAAGCTTATCAGGAGTTATAACGGTCACCATTTGGATTTTGAAATCTGTTATAGGAACGTAGGTTGCTATTAATTTAATTAAACAAGTGTCAAAGATATTTTAGCAATGTTGTTTTTGTGTAAAACATTATGTTTTGGAGTAGGTATCTACATTAACATGATGTTCTACGAAATTAATTCTTCAAAGTTCAAGTTTCTTCGCTGTTTGGCTTTTCCTTTCCACTAAGTGTCAAATTCTATTGAGAGAGTTATGGTGTGATTACAATTGGTCGTTAGCCCGAACTCGAGCGCCAATGGAATTCTGTACCCTTAGTACGAGTTTTACAATTACGAAAACTATGATTTTATTGTTTTTGTTTCAATACACCATTTAACAGTGTTTAAAATATATCATTAAATCATTTGTGTCTTTTTAGAATTTAAGTATATTTGGTTACTTTTCACCAAAATAGACATTGAAACATAATTTACAATTACGAAAACTATGATAGTTTTCGTGAGCTCAAAGTCGTACTAAGGGTACTGGTAAACGACTAAGTGTAAATGAACTGAGTCGAGTACGCCCTTATTCGGGTAGTTTTCGTTTTGTTTACCCGACACCGTCTTCCAGCTGCTATTCCAGTGAAAATACTGCTCCGGGTGCCCGTATACGAGTTATGTGTTTCGTGCACGTGAATATGGGTTATCGACCAAATGTAATTGAGCCATTATGTTGGTAGGTCTTGCTTTAGATATTTGAATACTATATTATTGAAAGGTGTAGAGCATTATCAAATTTGTGAGAAATTGTCATGTAGTCTTATCGTGCGTTCTTAATTTTGGTTATGAATTGTAGGATCCAACTCAATTTTAACGAAAAAGAGAAATTATTGTACTTATGAAACAATTGACTATCAGTGAAGTTATTATTATTTTAATAATTATTCATTTACATTGCATTTCAGTATTGGAGTGGCCTAACTATTAATATTTATTGGGCAGTACTTACAATTGTAATTATGTATTTATTATATTTTAAATTTGTTTATAAACGATAGTATAATCAATATCGTTAAATAATTCATTACTTTTATCAACAAAGATCAAAAACATTAATATTGAAAATTTTCGTTTTGCCTGTGATCAGTTTTATTATTCCGCTTGCCAAAAATGTTGAAAATTAGGAAAAAAAAATGTTTACGTATAAATGCAATATTTCGCTGATGATATGTGATATTATTTAGTTAAGTTAGACATTATTTTTAATGTAAATTTAATTATAAGTTATTTTTTAAGCAACACAATAAGAGTATTATTATTGAATGCATAATCTATTTTATTTCCTTTTCCCAATCTTATTTCATGAGTAAGACATAAATTTACACAGATGCCTTAGGAATAAATTATGTAATTCAAATGATTTAACCACCACGAAACAAAATATTCTAGTAGAGATTATTGCCAATTCTTCTCAACCCCAGGTCTTCAGCTGTCTTTTTGCTAAACTAATGCAGTTTTTTTTCTTACACGAGTAATTATAAGACTACATAAGTCTGGAATCGCATTCTGACACAGTACTCCCTGAAATGTGAAGAACTGACGTCATCAGTTTTTTTTAACTGTAAAAAAGGAGTAGGTTCTTAATTCGAGCGTTATATTTTTTATGTCCTTGAGGGGAATTTTTGACGTTTTACAGAGCCTTTAAATTATAAACGTTATTCAAAGCATAACACTATAAATTTTCATTGTCCTTACTTCGCCAAGAAATCGTTCACCAAAATAAAGTCGACGACGAGGGCAAGAAAATCATCATGAAGCTCTGTTGTCAAAAATAAAACGCCCCAGTGTGGCATCGCAGATTTGCTTAGATTGTTCTCGAGATTTAACATTGACAAAAATATTTGATCTCCTAATACACAGATAAACGTGAGAGTCCCCAGGGAACTTTACCAATTAAGATAGCGCCCCTCTACGCTAAACGGGACTAAATCAAGTCGCAAAAGAAAGGTTGAAGTAATAAATATAGTAGAAAGATGGGTGGGGCTCCTTTTTGGGGTAAATGGGAGAAAAATAGGCTGTGTTGCCACTTATCTGAGATCTTTGCTTGCGTATATTAGGGTCTTGGTCATGCTATGACACCGAATCGAAATGGCAAATGAAATTCGTGGCGTGTATGTTCGATATTTAAGCAAGTACAAACACGCCATTTTTGAATGATTTGATAGATTTGCAGGGAATTCTACGGGGGCCATACGGTAGAGTCTGTGCGGAGAGAGAATGGGATTTAGATTGGAGGGCGCTGTTGTACTTTCTACCGTATTTGTAAGGTTTTACCCCTTTTAGACATGATTAAATACAAAAAACCGCAAGAAATCACAATTACAAACAAATCCGTATCAATACAAAACTTTGACGATTTACAGATTGCTGGGTTTGATTGCCAAATAAAAATCTTAATGTTAGTTCCGATTTTCACCACGCCCATTCTCTTTCCGCACAGACTCTATAATCATAATATCCGTAGACAATCAAGGAATCTAGGCTTGAAAATGTTGAGCGAAAACAATATTTACATCTTAACAGCCCATAGTCTACAAGTTTTCTTGTAAGACTTTCTCTTATTGAATATATTAATGTCGGCTGTATTCAAAAAATAATCAATTCATTTAAAGGTATTTGTGTATGCTTCTACAATAAAGTCCCTAGCAAAGACTAACAAATGAGCCTCAATAAATTTATCTACTATAAAAATCCTTATGAATAAAGGGTATTATTAAATCAGGTGCTTGATTATATTTCAGACAAAAATGCTTGGGTTTAAACTGTTTCAAACGTTCCAACAGACTGTTTCTATATTTATGATGAAGATGACCTAATTATGTAATTGACTCAGTAACAATACATTTTGTAAATATTGTTACATAATTTGACGCTGTGAAGTTTTTTTCGCCCGTTTTACTCCACAGCTAGAAATGGTAAGGGAAAAAATGGACGATTCAAAAGAGTTATATTATACTTCCTATTTGAATAAAGATATTTTGAAATTGAAACAATATAAGGGCCATTAGACATAGAAACTATAAATATTGCTATTTTTAAAGTTATACTTCTTTAGGCGCGTTATGAAAAAATGATGAGAGTGAAATTTTTAGATGCGCGCGCATCACTGTAACCTAAAAGTAACAGCATGAAGTTGGCCACGGGCGGGTTATGAAAAAATCATGTGAGTGAAATTTCGAGATGCGCGCGCATCACTGTAACACAATAGTAACACCATGAAGTTGGCCGCGGGCGCGTTATGAATGTTAGTGTCTAATAATGGTGGATTATTAACCACTTAGTGGTTAATAATCCACCATTATTAGACATCTGTTCGAAAGGTACTTTGAACGATCCACGGAGCTCCATAAGATGATCGCGTTGTCAAAAACAATGTTGGCACGCTCGTCGCCTCTGATCACTGTTTTCATATTTATAATATTTATCCACATGTTTCTAGTTTCTATATAGACACAACGTGTTTTAGTTACTTACAAGTGCTAATTACATATGGACTAATAACTTAAATTCAGTAGTGATTTTAATTGAATATTTTGAATATTTATTTAATTTTTCAAATTAAAACTGAACTTAATTGACTGTGTTAACTATCCTTTTCCAGTCCTTTTATTATTTTATTGTAATTATTAATTATTTGCATGCAATTAAAAAATATTTTTAATGATGCTAAAGAAGTATAACTTCTCACGCGCGTACATAAGTTACACGCATCCATTTTTTTTCTTTCACATGTGAAATTGTAGTTTACCTACAATGTGAAGAGCACTGCCTCGAAGCCTCGGAAATTGCAGAAGCTCTAGCAATTAGACACGTTCATTCGTAGCGTTGCGGTAAGTGGTTCGAGTCCAAACTGATATCTGACCAATATTATTTCCCGATATTTTTTTAGATATAAATATCAAGTAACAGGGATGAAGACAAACTTTTTTTAAATCTAAAAAAAATTTACTAGAAAAATATTCCACGCGGACCAGGCAGCAGACCCTTCGCTATCTACATTGATCATTATGCTACCGCGGCCCTGATGGTCGTGTCAAATTTTTTCTAACCTTTCTCAGGCTGCAAGGCAGTGCCATCTCTTCGCAATGTAGGTAACCCACAATATCAAATGAATAATTTTACAGGTATTAAACATTTTAAAGAAGAAATTGCAATTACTATTTCTTCTTCAACATTTGAAAGAGTGTCCCGTCTATTGCCTGGGCCACTTGGATTATATTATGGTAAAATTTTCCATAGATTTAAACATCTAGCAGTTAAATGCTTATGCTATCTTCATCTATCAAGTAGTAGGTAAGTATTGAACACGTATTTTTTCATGTTTTGTTTTACATGTGATATGACATCACTTCTTAGTACAACTTTTCCTTAGAAGAAGCGACGTCGCGAGCCCCACTCCCAAACATTGACGCGCATTATCTCTGTAATTTTCTGATTGATCGACAAAAGAATTAAATATGTGTCCATTCTTGCTAAATAATCTAGACTTAATAAAATAATCTAGAATATAGACTTAATATTTCGTTTACTTCACCCCGTCATCACCCCTGTTTAATGCGTAAATAATGCTTGTCTGTACTGTTACACGCCTGTGTGATAGGCGGTCTATTACGTATCACGTCCCCTTTAGGATTGGCAAGTAGGTTCAGCGTTTGATGGAATTGGGTTACCTACATTGATTGTAACACTTAGACACATCAGTGTAAATTGCAATTTTGATAGCACTTTGGAAGCACTTCGTTATGGGAAGGCTAATAATTATGTTAAGAAAGTCGAGATGCTAAGAGTTGTTCATTACAAAAAAGCGAGTGTGCTTATGTATATGTATATATATGTGTGTGTGACCGGTGACACTTTTCGTAACGCGTAACTCGTAACGCATTCGCCAGTTTACCCGCCAACTGAAGCGTGCCTAAATTGTCCATTGTTTACCGATGAGTCACCGGTGACACTAATCGTAACGCGTAACTCGTAACGCATTCGCCAGTTTACCTTCAAGAAGTTTCACTTCAAAAAGTTTTATGTGATTTCCTTGCATTAACATAAAAACTTGCATTAACTTGATAACATTGGACCAACATTGGACCAAGCACAAACTTTGACAGATCCGTAATCGTATTGCCATCGTCTTTCTATGGATGTTGACAGTTTGTTCTTACGTCCGGTAGGGGGGGGGGGGGGGGTGCTGCTAAGTTTCTATTGAAACTTTCATGCTGCGATACGATAACGGTTAGGATAAGAGTGCGAAGACCCGGGGGCCATTCGCCTAACGGAAATGCTTTGAAAAACGCTAACGCTTT